GTCTGAAATCTAATTTTTGACTTTGTCCTAACACTTTTGCACAGTACTGTATATGGAGGTTATTTATAACTAAAACAAAAACTCATAAACACGTAAGTAAATTTATAAGAATTTATAATGTTAAAATTTAAAATGTTTTTTTTTTACAAAAGTTTTGGTAATCTTTGATAGGTTGTTTTTTGTTTAATAATAAATTTAACCTTCTCTTTTCACACAGCAGAGGGCGCAGTTTACAACAATGGCTGCGCGCAGAATGTGTATGAAAAGTTTGGGTAGGAGGATTTCTCACATTTCTCGTGATATTGTGAACCAGAATTTTTTAATACGGACTTACGGTACACCAACTGCTTCTGCTTATAAGCCAGATAGACCAAATCAAGACTTACAAGAGTATGTAGAAATACCATCCTATCCTGAAATTATTGATTCGTCGAAAGAAGGGAGAAAAAAACATGCAAGAAAACAATGGTATAAATATGTCCAGGAACTGCCAACAGTTGAACAAAAACTTCTTGAGATTATCAGCAGACAGAAATATCCAGCTGTCATACTTGGGCCAGTCTCACGCTCTTACGATTTACTTCCATTTCAACAATACTGCACTCGCACAAACATTATAAAAGGTTTACCAGAAATATATCAAGGGACTAATGTAGATGATGTATATGATAAGTTAAAACAACAGTTGATTGAAGTAGTGAAAGTTCAGTGTTGTCAGTTTTCGCGTAATTACAAAATTACCCAACAAAAGCCCACAGAAGAAACCGTGAGTAGAGGTCAAGGTGGTGGCGTCTTGGATGAAATGACATCATTAATTTCAACCACATTAGCAGTGAGTGACGAAGGGCAGCATCTAGCGAATGCTGAGGTATAAAGTTATTATAAATTTAAATCAATTGAATCCACACAGAGTAAACGGTTTTTTGAATAATCTGGCTTTTTCGTTGAAAATGATAATTTCTTTTCAGGCACATTGTGTTTTTATGTTAAGAATGAAAAACAATGATTTTTTTTGCACAATATAATGTAACATATCATCTGTATTCGAATTTAGATAGTTCAACTGACTAATTTCAGTAACACAGTTACCAGAATCAGGGTTAGTTACTTCAGTGTTAACTTGACCTATATTAAACTTGAGTAGTATCTTTTTAATTTTTTATAATTAATTTTTATTCATAGTGCAACTTTAGTACAGGCAGAATTAACACCGTAGTCACTAGCCCTGATATATAGTAGTAATAAAGATTTTATCTTTCATTGTGCCAAAAAAGTGTTTTAGTTTAACGAAGGTTTGGGAAGCCTAGTTGTTTAACCCTGCTTTAGTTTTCTGACAGACCTCAAATATTTGTAAATGTCAGGGCTGACAGATGGAAGCACATACGTGTTTGTTGTTGTCAGTAGCTTCAGTATTCGGCTAGTTTGTGTTAAATTGTTACACTTAGTGTAGGTGGTAAAAAAGAACAAGTTGTAATATCCAATGTTCATTTATTGATTAATGAAGGAAAAGATTTTGAGTTTGTGTTTTTTGTTTCCCAAATAATACTTTATTATTATTTATTTTTATTTAAATATTTTTAAATATTTTTTTTATTGATGGTGTCTGCTCTGACCCCGAAAGAGTGACTACGAAAAATTTTTACAGAAGGACTAAAGCAGGGTTAAGATTGCTGTCTAATTTCAAAAATTAAATCAGACCAGCCTCGTAATATTTTAGAATAAAATCATCTAGTGCTTATTATATTTACATCAGCCATTTATATTGGCACTTGCTAAGAAATCTGAGTTTTGGATTTAGGGCTGAACCAATCAACATGATGTACTCACACATGTAGTGTGCTGGCATATTTGCAGTTCACCCCTTTGATTGAGATCCCTCATCCTACTCTCAAATGGAAATCTGTTTCTGGTGGTGAGCTTTGGACTTAGAGCTGAATCAGTCACCATATTGTGCTCATCCTACCCTCACATGGATGTAGGTACCCAGCAGTTAGGTTTTAGATTTAGAGTTGAACCAGGCACCGTATGTTATCACACATGTCATGTGCTTGGGATCCCTCATTCTACATCCGCATGTATGTCAGTTCCGGACAGTTGAGTTTTGGATTTAGAGCTGAAAAAATCAACATGATGTACTCACACATGTAGTGTGTTGGCATATATGCAGTTCACCCCTTCAATTGGATCCATCATCCTACCCTCGATTGGATGTCTGTTCCTGGTGGTTAGTTTTGGATTTAGAGCTGAATCAATCACCTTATTGTCCACAGTCATGTTGTGTCAGTTGGGATCTCTCATCCTACTCCTGTATGGATGTTGGTTCCTGGTAGTTTAATTTTGGAATTGGACTTGAACTTATCAACATAGTTCGATGACGAGGAACCCACTTTGAGACTAATAATGGCTGGAGACGGCTTGAATGGGTAATGAAGAAAAACTTTAATATAAGTTTAACATAACAATGTTAAACTTATATTAACGGTTTTCTTCATTACCCATTCAAGCCGTCTCCAGCCATTATTAACCAACATAGTCCTCACACACATATTCAGAGGTGTCT